AGGTTCTGTAACCCAGAACCAGCAGCAAGTTTAAGAAGGCTTTGGGAGGAGTTTTTGTTAACTTAAGGCTGCAGTAAGGTAAGTTTTAGTAATTGTTTCGCCTAGGCTTAAAGAGTTGGAATCAAAACTTTAATTTTGGAGGCAACCTTAGCATCAGACAGCAAGTAGAGTTTAAAATGCAGATTTATAGTCATGCAATGCTGTTGTGTGAATAAAAGAAAAGAATTTCATTTGTTGATTGCTTCTTCTTGTCTGCACTTTCTGAAGTTTTATTGCATGTTGATTTCTAGTTGAAACTCTGCAAGTTGAGATTTATAGCAGCTTTGTTAACTGTTCAGCTCTTTAATCTTACTTGTAAAGGGGATGAACATTCAACTAGTACGAAATGCACATGCATTACATGAGACAAGAATGCATCATTTTACATGCTGCATAGAATCTATGGTATGATACCTAAGCTAATGGCTAGGAAAGATACTCCTAAAGTCACCTGGAGTAAAATATGATGATGCTCTCAAAGTTACCTGGAGTAAAAGAATGATGATGCTCCTAGCATATTTGGAGTAAAGAAAGAAGATATCTAAAATGATACCTGAGCTATTAAGCTAGGTAAGAACTCCTAAAGAACTTGGAGTAAGGAAAGAAAGATATCTATATCCGCTGCGCAGTAGGAAGAACCATGGCTAGTCCACTGGTATGTGGGATGTACACCTAGAAGGAAAAATCCATAGAAAAGAACATACATTCATGTGACTATTTTGACAAGCATCAATTTATCTTGCTGCTTTGTTTTTCTTATGAATCTTAAGTGATGATTTTGATGGAGGGAAATCTCCTATTTAATTGTTCAGTGCTAGTGAATAGAACTTGATGGAATTGGCTCTGCTCAAGTAGGACAGATTATGTTTCAGGTCAGCTTAGCACCAAAAATTGGTTTGATAATTTTCTAAGTTGTGAAAGTTAAGTTAAATATTTTACTAGACTTACTGGGTTTTACAGCTTATGGAATTATTATTTCCATGAGGTTACAGGTAGAAATTAACTAGAGGCAGCATACACATTTTGGGAGTCTAGGAAGCATCTGTTAATCCAAGTGCAGGCCTAGAGCCAACCTTCGCAAAACAAATTTAAACTCTACCCAAAACGTAGACTTGGCTCACTGTTTTGCACTAAAAAGCTCTGTACCATATGTAAAGAAAACATCAAGTGTTGCTGTAAAGGAAACTATGAGTTTTTGTATTGTTCAGTTTGTCTATAAAACTATGTTAGCATGTAAATGATATAAGGACTGGACTCTTTCCTTTTGTTTATCATAATCTAACTGTCCAGGTCCTATGTGTTTTCTACTTATATATATATATATATATTTTGAAGCCCCAAACTTGTTTATGTTCTGCTATGGAAATTCCTATGATCAGCAGCTTCTTAATGTGGGGAAAAGTTTAATTGAAATAAACAACATGTTTCCAACTTAGCCCTAAAGAATTTACCTGTACCAGGATGTAACAACACAAGCTACGTTGGCTCCAAGGTACAATTTGCTCAAAAGAAAAAATCTCTATTACAGAAGTTTGCGATTAAGAGAAACTAAAACAAAACCTGAATATCATGAATTCATGGTGATCAACAAGAAAAATCAACATATCTATGACAAAGGGACTAGAGGAAGGGGCTATTATAATCTCTGCAGAGCGCAGTTTGAAACTAGGAAATTGTTTCAATCATATTGAGTTTGTGATTATTGATAAAATAATCATATAATGATAACTACAAAATACAATGGAAATGGAATAGGAATCTTATTTATACAGCTAAAAGAGAATATTTTCAGTGAAGTGGATACTAGGATTACAAATCATCAAAAAAAAGTTGTCAAGAATCCACAATAGCTTCATCTAAAAATTAAAGCAATCATGGATAAAAATAGAAATAACATGTTTCTGTGTAAAGCCACCATACCTCAACCTCCATGGCACTAAATCCAAATCCAGAGTCTCCTTCAACTGCAACCACAAGCCAGTCTGGATTAGCCACTGCAGCTGCAATGCAATAATCGAGACCTACTCCCATGGTCCCCCCAAGTCCCTGCATCCAACCTAGTCCTTGGCTCTGTCTGAACCAGCATAGACCTTCCGACATCCATAGTATTTGCCCCTTCTGAAACCAACACTGGGGCAGGGCTTCCTAACTCCAGAATGGTGTCCGTAATAATCCTTAAAGGTGTCAAAAAGTTAAATGGAACAACATTCCACGCCAGCTGAGCCTCCATTCTTGAGAAATTTTCTTTTACTTTCTTTGAGATTGCCTCAACCCATGGGTGGGAGCTCCCCAAATGGAAAGGATCATCCTTAATCTCCTCATTAATCAACTTTAATATCTTTTTTGCATCACCAGCCAAACCTAAATGGGGTTTCCTCAACTGAATTTCTTCCCCACGGGCTTCCTAACTTCACATCCTTAGACCACTTTGGTGGCTCCCAAAATGCAGCAACCAATTAAGCCTCGCACCCACAACAAGTGCAACATCACATTTACCAATAGCAAGAGACCTCGCTGCACTAGCTGCCAAGTTATGATCATCAGGCACCAATCCTTTACCCATTGGAATAGGCAAAAATGGAATCCCAGTAGTCTCCACCAGCCACTTGAATTCATTCTCTGCTCGTGCATAAGCTGCTCCTTTCCCAAACACAATCAGTGGCCTCTCCGCCTTCCTAAGCAGAGCAACTGCCTTCTCTATCTCAGAACTTGCTACACTCGCTACCTTTTCAGACTTCCTACTTATCTCAACCTCAGACAATAAAGTTTCTACTTCAGATTCCGATATCGTTTGATGCAGCACATCGGTGGGCAAACCAAGTTAACAACCTCCTGGCCGGCCTAAGACTGCTCAAGCAACACAATTGGGAATTTCCTTGATGTTCTTGGCTTTAACAGAGAATTTGGAGAAGGGTTTCACGGCTTCGATCAGATCAAGCTCCTGGAAGTCACCCCGGCCGAAGTCATTCTGGTCGCAAGAACCGGAGATCATAACCATGGCCAGGTATTGACCACTGAATTGGATAGTCCGGCAAGCCCGTGCATGCACCCAGGTCCAGAAACTGTCAAGAGTATCCCCGGACGGCCGGTAAGGTACCCATAAGCAGAGGCGGCGTATCCTGCGGAGTGTTGTGAAATGCAACGAAGCGGATGCCGGGCTGCATCATACGGTTGGCGAGCGAAGTGACGGGTATACCTACCACCCCAAACGTGTGGGTAACCCCGAACCTGGCCAAGGACTTAGCCGCCACAACATTACCGTCGATTGAATCTGCCATTGGATACTCGGTTGGTTTTTGGGCAAGGATGCTTATGCGTGTGGGGGAGATTGTGAAAATGAATTTATATAGCTCTGATCTAGTTGTACCCTCAACGGAGAGACCTCTTCCTGATGGCTGCTTGCCATTCCCAATAATGTAAGCCCCATTTGGATTGAGAGAGTCGAGGGAGAAAGGAAGGAGAGTGAAGGAATTCACTTCCAGTGTTTTTAGCAGGCCTCCTGGGCGCAATTGGATTTCTTGTTGGACTTGGGGGCGGCCTCTGTTTCGTCCAAGAGAGTAATTGGGCCTCCTTGGGTTCTTTCGTTGCCTTCTTCCTTCTTTTCCGGCCCGCTCCTTCCCAGAAAGGCTATATTAATATTGCCGTCTGTCAGACTGTCACCTCAACAACTACAAAATCAACACGCTAGCCGGCTTGAGCACCTTTGCTGTTGTTTGTTTTTCTCTCGTTTCAAGGTATTTTCATGGTTTTATTTTCACAGATCTTCTGTGTGTAATGAATTTTGTTCAATGGATTTACTAGTTCCTGTCCATTGAGTTTTGTTCTTAATTTTCTTTCTGTGCTTTCTCCTTCTGAAAATGCAAGATTTATTTCATTATCGTATCTTCGCTCTATTTAGGCGTTTTACTTGCTGGTTTGGCTGATCTTCCCAAAATAACTGTTGTTTTTTGATTTTAGTTTGTCCAAAATTATTTTGGGATAGAGCAAGTATTTGCTTGAATGAAAGATTGGATATGGTGCTCTGCTTTTTTTTCTTTTTTCTTTTTTCTTTTTAAAGAATATAGCAGCTAAACTAAATTCTCCATTAGGGGGGCTGTATGGGCTTTTTATACTTGTAACCGCTGCAAATGTTTTTGTGTTTACCCAAATAATTGCTTTATGCAAATTTTTGATTTGACAATAAAATATATATATATATATATATAACAATGAAGCAAGATACTTTCTATTTTGTGTTTTCCTAAACATTAAGCAGAATGATGCTTAAATATAATCATAGTGCTTGTGTATAATCAATAATTGTATAACATGAGCTACAAGAAAAAAAAATTATTCAGCTTTTGTGTTTTGTAATGAACTTTTACCAGATGTGTTCATGGTTTCATACCAACATGTTTATGTTCTATTTCCACTTTGAGAATTCAGAGGCTTGTCCCTAGTACACCATTATGTGAGAAAACTGAGAAGTGGGAAAGGAAGATTGGAGCTACTGGAAATTGTTGGGATGGGCGGTATGGAAAGAAAGATCTCCAACCTATATTTGTTGGATATTCTTTCCGATGCCACCCATTCCCATGATTTCCAGTTGTTGTTCCCTTTCCCTTCTAGTTCTACTTCAGATCTGGGTTGTTGCCTACTCCGCCGCTTGTGATGTAAGTCATGCTCATTTTCTTCTCAACCATCAGTTTTTACTTTTTGACATTCTAAATTTTTATGTATTGATATATATATATATATATATATAT